CTGGCAAGCATAAGGGCCTGAGTTCAAACCCTGGTTCTGCAAAAAAAAAAAAAAAAACCCAAAGTCTAATTTCTCATAAGGCCCTTTACAGCTTATACAAGATCAGGCTGATAATGAACATCAATCTTAGTTTATGGCAAATAAATAAACTGCAAAGCACATTTGTACTTTTTATTTTCCTTTGTTTTAAACCTTAGTACATTCACTAAACTGCTTGTGTCAAGAAAAAAAGAGAAAAAAGAAAATTAAAAAACTCTTCTATATTCCAGTATGGATCCAGCACCTTGTAAAACTAACCTAGCAATAAGTCCTGATGCAGAAGCACGGCCTCTCTCAGACCCTGCCCAACACTCACATCTGTGTGCTCCACTGTATCGCTGGTGACACTTCAGTCAGTCAGGGGCCTGCAGGCAGAAGGCCCACGACCTCTTTTAAAAAGGCTTGCTTCCAAAGCAAAATCCTTGTGGGCAAACCTTGTTTGCCTTAATTACGATAAAATCTGTGACCTGACATTTGGCGTATCTGTGCCACAGCTACCACAGATGAGGCTTCAGTTCACAAGAAGACTTGCAGTTAAAAGCAAACTGCTAACTTGACAGAAAACAAGAAGACAAATAATCTAACGTAGATACTGCAACAGTTACAAAGCACAACCCTCAAAAGTATCTAGTATCACCCAAGCAAAATGTTTTCTTTAAATAGAGCTAAACAGTCAAATTTGATTCCTCATTGTCTTCCACTGTTAATTATCCAATTTCATTTTCTGTATAAGGAATGAAACTCAGGATCTTGAGCTTCCCAGGTTTTTTGGGCTTTTTTTTTGAAACAGGGTTTTTCACTACACAGTTCAGGCTGGCCTCGAACTCACTTTGTAGCCCCAGGCTGGCCTCAACCTCCCAATTGCTGGAATTACAGTCAAGCACCACCACACCTGGCTCCAAGGTGATATTTACAATTCACCTTCACTCATCCAGTCATTCCCACTATGTGCCCGGTATTACACTCTGTTTTCTTATCACAGTGGTATTCTGTGAAAAGGTGATGTTTGGCCCATATTCAAAGATATTTGTTTTAGGGGTGGTGGTGGTGAGAGCAGTGTATGAAACCTCTCAACCAAATGGAAATAAGAACTTCCTCACCAGGATTTACAACTGCAAATAGTGCAGCTGGACACTTTACTTTTTCTTTTTTTTTTTTTTAATGCATTTGGTACAGGGTCTACAGAGACTCACTATGTAGATGGGACTCTTTCCTGTTTTCAGCCTCCCAAGCCTGGGATTACAGGTACACACCATGCCCAGTCTGCAACGCCATCTCAACACGCCCTGAAGGTGGAGACAGGATCGAATCCTGACCACTGCACTTTGCCTAAGCAGGCAGCTTTAGTCCGCTGAGCTATCTAGCCAGCCCTCTGGTCACTTTTCTTAAAGTTAGGTAAACAGCAAAACTACAGTCCCTGGGGGTGGGGGTCCTTCAATTGGCCTATTTGCTTTTATTGAAAATGACAAACATGTGAAGAAAAAGAATAATGCTTTTTCTTTGGCATTTCGAGACATGGTTATGTAGCTCAGGCTGGCCTCAAACTCTGTGATCCTCCTGCCTCAGCCTCCCCAGTGCTGGGATTATAGGCATGTACCACCATGCCCAGCTAAAGATGCTTTTTAAATGGTAAGAAGAGTAACAGATAACATTTACTGAGACTATGCCAGGCTAATTCTAAGGAGCCAGCCATTAGTTCATTTAATCTTCACACAACCCCTGGGAGGCTGACATCACCACAATCCCATTTTACAAATGAAACTGTAGCTTTATTTAGGATCACTCAAGTATAGAGCTATAATTCAAATCCAGCTGTACCAGTCTACAAAGCCTATGTTCTTTTTCTTCCTGTATTAGTGTATGCTAACCCTGTGCTCTTGATCACATTATGTTGTGCAGTTGGTACTCACTGGACTTTATATGAAGTTTTTGAACGGCTTACAAATTTCTTCCTTAAAATGAAATCTTCCCCCCACGCCATTTAAACCTAGGGCCTTGGCAAGCACTCTACCACTGAGCTACATTCTCAGGCTTTTTTGTTCCTGTTTTGAAGACAAGATCTTACTAAACTGCCCTGCAGACCTAGAACTTATGATCTTCCTGACAACCTCCTTCCTAAGTAGCTGGAACCATAAACATATCACACCACCAAGCTTAAATGGCCCACTTCCCCCAACACACACCCTCAGTACTGAGGACTGAACTGAGATCTTCGCACTGAGCTACATCCCCATTCCTATATTTTTTGAGCTACTGTCTCACTAAATTGCCCAGGCTTGTTATCCTCCAACCCAGGTCTTCCAGAGTACTGGGATTAAAAGTGTGTGCATGGGCCGGGGAGATGGCTCAGTAGAATAAGTGCTTGCCTGGCAAATGCCAGGGCCTGAGTTCAATCCCCAGTTACACCAAAAAAAAAAAAAAAAAGAAAAGAAAAGAAAAAAAAAGTGTGTGCAACCACACACCTGGACGAAATAAACTGTATTAATATATACCAAAAACAAATAAGGATTTTACTTGAAACTGTGGTCTTATCAGTCTAAATATTTGGATCAGAAACAAATCTATCTGAACAAAAGCCCTGAATCTCTCCAGCAATGGGATTACCACTAGACTCAATACAGAGTAGAAGAGGACATGACGATCACTCAGTTCAAATTCTTCATTTTAGGAATGACAAGAGGCCTTGTGAAAAGCATCCATACTACCTATAAAAATCTCAACGACCACATTCTTGAATCCAGAAGCACTTTTCTTTCAAAGCATCACTTTTAATAAGTAATCTAACCTCTCTATAGAGCATTTTGACATCATACAGAGAGTAAGGTATCCCTTTCTAAGCACTGTAACACAAAATGTATAAGCTGTTAGACTAGTGCAGAGCCATTACCAATTGAAAGCTTGAATATTTTCACAGGACATGCTATTGAAAGCAATAAAATAGCACCTTTAACTACATAAACTCAAATCAAAAAATAGCCATTTCTTCCTTGAATTCAATTTACATTCATTTGGGTCAACAACAGGCTCAGCTTCACTTTCCTGGTTATGTCATGTGACTGAATTCAAGCTCATTTCAAGGGAAAGGCTGTACTCTGCTGTATTTAGAACACATATCATTGGGAGCAGCCAGATGAGTCTTACTAGGCCTATCCAAAAACCTTTAGTTGCTAAGAAACTACAATTTCACCATATTATAAATCATGGGAAAGAAACTATGCCAGCTGAGATTTAACATGTAAAACCAAGGATCTTCCACCTATTGTGCAAAACAAAACCATGCTATTTCCATAAATCAAATAGCTGAAATCAGAATTAGGCTTAACTCATGTTAAGACAGATGAAAAGCTGGTAAGACAAATCATACTAACTGTAAAAATCTACTCTGCCTTCCACAGTGACTTCACACTTAAGAAAAAAAAAAAAAAAAACAAACACACACACCTCAATATAGTTACTACACTCAATATGAGACAAAAATGTTTTCCTCCTGACCCCTGCAGCGATAACCCAAGGCCATGAAGTATACGTAAGATTTGAATAGTACAATTCATTCCAACAATGTTTTTTCAATCCTGTGATAGATTTTTATTGTAATCTTCAGCAATGTAAGTCCAGTTTCTTTATACAAGACTCAATTCCACTGGCCCTACCACTGGTGGTTGTTGTGGGTTTTTTTTAATAAATTAAAATCATGTAAATGTCACTGCTTTTTTTTAAAGGCTGCTATGGTTTTAACAAAAATGAAGAAACATTATAATTTGTAGTTCATTCTCCTATACTGACTCTCCATAAATTTTTCATACAAAAATATTTTTAAACCTCAAAAGCTCTTTCACAAGAGTAGAAACAGGTTCACAATCCGCAACTTAACTGTTAACACCTGCCTTCAATAAGAAGAATCTGTTTCGTCTAGATTCTCCCACGCCTGACTTCCCAGCATTTCTCCATCTTCTCTAAGGAGCGTCAGTTCAAAATTCAATTCCCTCATTTTCCACTGCACCTTGGACACATCCGAAAGGCCACTTTCATCTTTCTCAAAAATAGCATCTCTTCAGTCTTAAAACTTTCAGATCTCAGAATCACGTCCTCCGTCTCTCTCCCGCCACTAACTGCCCTCAATCCCACCACTGCAGTTGCAGCTGTGTCCCTGTCTTCCCAAACTCAACTCTCCACACTGCAAACCAACGTGACACCCTCAGCTTCCTGCATTTTACTCCCTTCCCTTATTTTTCGTTTTCCCCCACCCCCACCTTTACAGCCAGGCACCCTACTTCTCCAGTGCTTCCCCCACCTCAGTTTCAACCCTTTCTCCCCATCCTCTGCTCATTTTCCTCTCCTTATTTAGAAACTCCTTTCAGCTCTCCCAACCGCTACCCTCGGACGCCCAGCACTCCACCCTCTTCGGCAAACCCAGCCTCCTCCCCAGATCGAGTGGAGACACCGCTGCTTCTTTCCAGGTCCCCTACACTGCAGTCAACCCACTCCTTCATCTTCCTACCCACCTTCCCTCCACCTCCAGACCCGAGGTTCCCGATTCTCTACCCCTCCCCGGGGCTCTCCACTCAGCTCACCACCAGGAACTCCCTTCCCTTCCATTTCTCCCTGATTTTTAAGGGCTCCCCCCGCCCCCCGCCCGGAGGATCCCAGCCGAGGCCAGCTCCGAGAGCCTCGACTTGGGGAAACTAGCCCGTCGCTTAGCACACAGACGCCGGTCCCCCGCTACCTCCAGGAGGAGCTGCGCCCCCCTCGCCCGCCCCCGCTACTCCACTCCTCGAGCCGGCTTCCTCGGGTGCCCGAGCTGCTCCAGTCCCCACCAATGCGGGTCGCGCCGGGCGCCCCCACCTCGGCGGCGCCCGCTCCTCCAGGCCCCAGGCAGCATCTGCCCCTCAGACCCCGATCCTCAGCTGCCGGCGCCCTCGGGCCCCGCCCGCCAGCCCGCCCGCCCCCGGCACCTCGCTTACCGTTCTGAGCGGCACCCGGCCCTGGGAGAAGGGAGCCAGAGACCAGCAGAAGCGAGAGGGCCAGGGCACTGGGGAGCGACGAGCCCGACATCCTCCCTAGCACAAGACGGAACTGCGAATGGGCCGGAGCCGGGGCGGGGGAAGGGAGGGGAGGGAGGGAGGGGGCGGGCGTGCGCGCGAGGGAGTCAGCGAGGGAGGCAGAAGCGGCTCGGCTCCGTCCTTCCCCGTCCACCTCCTACCGCCGCAGCGCCCAAGCCTCGCGAGACCTTCGCTCCAGGTCGTGGGCGGCACTGGGGCGACGGCGGCAAACATCGCGAGAACACACGGCCTCTACGGATGCTCCCGCCCTTTGGGCTCAGCCTCTCCGCCCCTGCAGGCAGTAATTGGCTCAGCGCGGGGTAGGTCACGTGCCGGAGGCGCTTCTGGCCACGTGATGGGGTGCGGTGAGGCTCCGCCTACTCGCGCTGTAGGGTGTGCTGGAGAGTCGGTGTCCGCTTTGCGCCTTTGGGGAGCGTAAGCGCTGGCAAGTGAAAGGAAGCGGCACCGACTCAGTATGGGCCCTCCACCCATCCTGCCGGTCCTGGTATTGTGCCCTATCAAAAGCGTGCCATTTCTTCTTTCTGGACTTTGACCATAGGCTTCTGTCGGTGTCTTCCCCAGCCTTCCTCTCCTGTTGCACCGGCTGTGGCCTCTGTTGCCTGGTGCCTTCCCGCCTCCACGTCTGCTCCCCCGCCAGGCCTGCGTGTTCTCCTTTGCTCCGCTCACCTACTCCCCCGCCCCATCCCCAGTTTGGCTTTATTTTAGTTTCACATGCTCTCAGGACCTGAAGTTCAACTGACCCAGTTGCATCTCTAGACACAATTCTACAGGAAATCATCTTGTATCACCTGATATGAAGAGGTCTTAAAGCATTCGAATGCAGGAAGCATCTGTTGAGTATTGAGCAAGGCTCTGGTGAAACTTGTATCCCGGTCTGGTAGAGGACTGAGGAAGAGTCTTAAAGACCTAGAGGAAGGATCCTCCAAGAAGGTGGTCGGTCCGTGGTCACTGCTGGTTGTATGAATTTTGGGGGATGCTCTTGATTGGCAAGGGAGTTTCTGTTGCTTAGCACATCCCTGAGCCACAGCAGACATCCTGAAGAGGTTCTGTGGAGTGAAACTCGGGGCCTGACTTGATTCAAAGAGCTGGGAAACCCGGAGGAAGGAGCTCCTTACAGTCTCCCAAGCTAACATGGACATCTGATGATTCCACACAAGTTTCTAGGAAGGGCCAGGACTACAACTATGCTACAGATTAAAACGAAAACCTATAGCTCAAAACCTCCAGTGTGCAGGTGACAAAGACTGATCTGTATCTCCCTCTAAACAAAGGCTGTTCCGCAAGCAGCCCTGTAAGAAGAACCTGACGGGTTGCCTGCTATAGGGCCAAGATACTCAACTGATGGAAGTTTTGATTGGATGTAGTAAACATAGCAAACACCCCTATTTGATCTCTGCCACAAGGGAGCCTAATGAAATGTTCATGCTCTTATTGTGGATAGGGAAACTGAGGCTGGGAAGATATAACCTGCCCAGATCTCTTGAGTATTTGTGTTATTCATTAATGCCAATTAGGCTGGTTTACCTGCCTCTAGGTTCATGATTGCAATTCAGAGTTGCCTGCAACTTACTTCAGCCAGTAAAATGAGAATTGATGGATTTCTGTTATGAGAAGTGAGATCATTTTCAAGCAGAAGCATTTCGTTTCTGGTATAGATGGGGTTGCATACTCTTATCTTAGTGATGATCAGTAACTGTGGTGGTGAGAGTATGTCAACATGAAGCTTACGTTAGCCCTGCTCCTCCAGTTGGCATGATAAGCTGAGCCCTCTCAGTCACCCACACAGTAAACTACTGAGACTGAGAAGTTTGTTCTTACAGCATACCCTGGCTGACCCTAGTTATCAAAAGCTGGATGGTATTTCCATCCCAACCACCATCGCCACTTCTAGTATCTAGTTATGTGGCCTTTATCCTTATTTACCTGTTAAACGGGGTTAATGATAGTTCTAACCCTATAACATCACAAAAAGAGTGAGATAATTTATGTGCAATGTTTAGAACAGTTTCTGGTAAGCACTCTAATATTGATGGTGACAATACTACAATTCTAACTCTATCCCTGCATCCTTTTCACTGTGTTATGCTTCCAAAAAGAGATGGATAAAGAAAAATTTCAGTATGGTGTTAATTCTTAAAAACATGTAATTGTGAGAAACTTACCTAAGGAGATCACCAAACTCCATAAGATAGTAGCTGGAGCTGTAGTCTCCTTTTGTTGAAAAAATACATGTATAAGTAAAATCTTCGAATAATTCAATAGCTTTTTTAGAAATCTGGATTTTTTTGTTAAGATTTAGGTTCACTTTAAAATAAACTCTCCCAAGTGTAGCTGTGCTGAGGGTGGCCGAGCTCCTGGCAATATCTCCAACGATCCCTAGGGGTCCTCAGAGCTCAGGCTGAGACTTTCCTGGCTTTCACGGACACATTGCAGGTTGGGTTTCCAAAGTTGGTAGCGCCCCCTGGTGGGAAGGTCTGTAATAAAGCGGTCACCATTGGTTTGGTGTGGGTGGGTCACTCAGCCCTTGGAAGACTGCCAACCCCAAGGGTGTATTGGTGGTGTTCCGACAGTTGACCTTGAACTTCCTAATGGTTTGCCCCCTCCTCCTGCAAAGATCTCTGCAACTTGAAAGCTCTTAATATTCAAGGATACCATGCCATCCATCCTTCTGACTTCCTAGTCATCTCCTAGCATCATCCTTAAACTTCATGGATGAGTTCAACATGCATGTTAATGATCTGTTCAGTATCCTGGTCTCTCAGTTCTTTTACTTTCTCCTCAACTGAACTATTCCTTCCAACGTCAGACCCTGAACACTTTCGCCACCCCGTAGAAGAGCTCCAGTTTTGCTCACCACTACCTAGCCTTTCTACTCCTTATGCTAGCACCTCATTTGTTATTATTCTTCAAATTAACTGAGATTTCTAATCTATAAATCCATCAGCTTTTTGTTCATTCTTCGTTTCTCTCCTGGTCCAATTGAGAGCCTATGAAGTATCACTAACCATTCCCTTGCCCACCAGTATTTTCCTGAGAAAACAACAATCTAGCTGCGCACTACTCTCAGAAAAGGAGGCTTTATACCTGCACTGAGCAGCTGATTGTTGCGGGGAGGGGGGACAAACAGGAAGAATGATTTCACTTTAAATTCATAATCTCGGGCCTTGTAAGAGTACTTGATCTCACCCATAAGTCTCATATGTGCTAAGCATGAATTTGCAACTACAATGGACATGTGGAAGAAAGGTCACATGTCCTCCATCTACATCAAATTTTCTGAGCACTTTTCTACTAGGATAACAAGATACTCAATTTAGGTCATTATGAATCTCCCTCATTACTTCCACAGGGTCATATGAAATGCCTGGGGTTTTATGCAGCCCAAGACATTTACTTTCATTGATGTTGTTTACTGTGGCCACTGATGGTTATCCCTACAGTCCATCGAAAGCGAATGGCTCAGAGGTGTTACCACTCCCACTGCACCCTCTTCACATTACATTCCCTTTCAGTTCATTGTGATTGCTGCTTCTTACACTCACTGAGGCCTCTGTGGACTTTGTTGTATTTATCTAGAAGAACCAAGATTCCATCCTGTTCACTTGGTTACTTCTCATTCTTTAGATGTCAGCTTCTGATCATTCCTCCTGTTATAAAAAGTAGCACCCAAATGAGGTTCCACCTCATACACATGACTTCCCTAAGTTGTAAGACCTGACCATACCATGTGGTGGGATGTAGACACCTGGAACTCACACACAGTCAGCATGCACAGAAAAATGACTGCTTTACCTTGAGCAACTGTTAGACGGTTTAGCATAAAGTTAAATATGCATGTTACCTATAACCAGAAATTCTGTATCTACTATCCTCAGGGCCCAAGAGAAATGAAAACATATGTCCACCAAATGATTTGAACAAGACTATTCATAAAGGTCTTGTTCATAACTGTTGTACTCATAAGAGCTAAATAAGAAACAACCCAGATACTGTATTCTTCAAAAGTGAATGGAGGGGCTGGTGAGATGGCTCAGTGGTCTAAAGCACCTACCTAGAACAAGCTAAGCTAAGCTAAAGCACAGGGACCGCGGTTCAGTCCCCCAGCACCACATGCCAGCCAGCCTCGCCCCCTGGTGGGCTGAACTGGCCACACACACACACACACACACACACACACACACAAATAAATAAGTAAAAAAAAAAATTAAAAAAAAAAGAAAATATGTTACAGGGGAGCCTCAGTCTGGGGCAGGAAGAGTGGTCGGGAAAGGCTCTGAAGGAGGTCTCCAGGGGAGTCCAGTGTAAGGAGCAAGGGAAAGGGGAGAGGGCCAGGTTAAGAACTTGAGATTTCAGTCACCTAAGAGGAAACATGTAGTTTCTTGTAACAGAATCTAGACCAGAATACTTCATTATCAATGAAGGGAAATATTGAAGCCAAACAAATAGTTAAGCTGCGCTACCTATAAGCCTGACCATGTGTCATTCTCCAGAACCATATTTTTTCTATTAATAACATTTTGTTTAGCTTCTTCCTCCAGGCTCAGCTGTGCAGCAAGGAATTAAGAGATGAATCTCTTGGGTTAGAGCAGAAAGGCGCAGGAACTCTCCCCTGAAGCAATGGGGTTCTGGCTGCTGTTTTGTGGAAACTGAAAGAAGAACAAAGAACAGATACCAGTGTGGTGGGTGGTGAAAAAGAACCAACTCTTGCTCCAGTTAAAGGGACTCCAGTGGTTGCCATGTGACCAGCCATCAGTGCTTCCTCCTCTCTGTGCCACTGAAAACTTCTGCAGCTGGGCATGGGGACACACACCTGTAATCCCAGCACATGGGAGGCTGAGGCAGGAAGACTGCCACAAGTTTGAGGCCAGTGTGAACATACCGAGACCCTAACTCAGAAAGAAGAAATTTATTTATTTTTAATGTATTTGGTTGTTACAAGGTCTCACTACATGGCTCGGACTTTTAGTGATCCTCCTGTGTTCAGCCTCCCTAGCACTGGGATTACAGGCATATGCCACCACACCTGGACTCAGTGGCTCACATGCCCGAGGTGGGACTGAAGCAGCACATGGTACCAGAATCGAACACAGTCCCTGCACTTGCCTAAGCAGGCACTTAGTCCACTGAGCTATCTCACTGGTCCTTATTTTATTTTTGATACAAGTTCTCACTATGCAGTTCAG